ATCACTAATCACCCCCTGATAGTTATTTTGGAAATATATTTCATGTACAGAATTGACCTCTCTACAGATTTATTATAAGTATAGATTATCATTCACTTGAACATCTCGTTTGCAGTATCTCGCATAAAATCGATTGGAACTTACATAACAGTTTTGCGGGATCTGCTGCATTAATGGATTCCGCAAAACTGGATAACCCTAAGATGCCACAGCGTTTACAATTTTGAAGCCGTTATTCATACAATAGAAAATAAGTATTACATTTTTTCAACTTGGCCTCACCACTACCGAGCAACTGCACAACATTAACAAGTAGATAAAATGTAATAAAGTCCTATGTTAAAAGAGCAAAGGTTAACGATAACACGATATGTTATCGTTACTTTCATGTTAAAGTATAATTTCTATTCAAAATCTAAACGAAACTAATGACATCATAGTTTATTCCATGACTAGCTTTCCGCCCGCGGCTTCGCCCGCGTGGAATTTTGTCTGTCACAGAAAAGCTTTATCGCGCGCGCCCCGTTTTCAAAAACCGGGATAAAAACTATCCTATGTTCTTTCCCGGGACTCAAACTATCTCTATGCCAAATTTAATCAAAATCGGTTCAGTGGTTTAGGCGTGAAAGCAAGACAGACAGACAGAAAAAGTTACTTTTGCATTTATAATATTAAAGTATAGATTTCTACTAGGACTAGGTTTTTAATAACGCAGTCAGTGTCTGGGGTATGGCTGCGGCACGGGAGGGGTGACATTGGCATAATATTGTGACGTCATAGAGCAGTCTTTCCCAAAGTGGGCGATAACACCCCCTTGTGGCCGCTGCTTAAATGGGGGCGGTAAGAGACCCAGAAAAAAAAATGGGACGTTGTGTAGAGGCTTGGGAGGCGTCATTTACTAGGAGGACTCTTAGACACCGACTGAGCACTCGACACTCTACTACAAATGGGAGCGCTAAAAAGAATTTATTCTCAAAGTGGGCAGTAGACAAAATAAGTTTGGGAACCGTTGTCATAGAGCATACAAGTCTGAAGCATATTTCAAGCCTCGCTGACTGAAAAAACATATCCTTATTCATTATCAGGAGATCCTCAGTGTTGCCAGAAGGATACTTTTGTAACCTTTTAGGTTACTTTTGAACTGCATTGGTTACTTTTAGGTTACACTAATGAAAAGGTTACTTTTAGGTGATTTTTCAGATTGATGATCAATTGTATTCATTTTTGCACCCCCCCCTCCCCGTATGAAGGTTACATTTTGTTATATTTCTGGTAATTTCTGACAAGACCCGACTGGCAACACTGGAGATCCTGGCTACACAGGAGTTGCAGCGGTGGAAACTAGCTGGGAATAGTCCAGTAGTCTAGATTCTAGAGTTCTAGACAGTAATAAGTATTAATCTACAAATCATACTAATAATTTTTAATTCCTGATAATTTATTGTGTAGATAACAACTTGAATATGTAATTTATCTTGTGACCTACTGATATCGATCGATCTAAAGAAATCGCATTATTATGTGACAAAGGACATAGTATACCTAGTCATAGCAGTAAATTATCAAGTATAAAATATGATAGATGTAGTTAGAATAATAATCTAGTAATCAGTGAATAAAGATTTGACTGCAAAATCAGTCGAAAGTGGTTTTAACCCTCCGTGTACGAGGTGACTAAAAGTTACGTCCCGTACCAGGTGGGGTATGACACACCCCAATATACAAAGTGATAAAATTTTCATTCAACATTTTTTTAGGTGGAATTTAATATTTAATATTGATTATTTACGTATGCTCATTAGTAGACATCGGATTATATGCATTTGCATTATTGCATATGCAAATGCATATAATGCTATTTTTATAGCGTTATTGCATATTTTGGTACTTTTTCATTGACAGTGTTTATTTTAGTATTTATACGTGTTAGACGTGTTGTACTTCGCCGCCGTCCCCACACCAAACATCAACACATCGCCCTCGCACGCACTGCGAGAGCGCATTGAGAGCGATCCATACCAGTGTTGCCAGAGAAACTATCAGAAATATAANTCGTTTTACCCCCACTTCATCTATCTTACGCGGTTCAGATTTTTTCATACAATTTCTTTTCCCGCTAACTCCCGTTCCCGTGGGAATTTTGCAATATCCTGTTGTAACTAAGCTTTAAGTTTACTAAGGTACCTGGATGCCAAATTTCAAGCGTCTATCTTACGCGGTTTAGATTTTTTCATACAAATGTTTTTTTCCAATAACTCCCGTTCCCGTGGGAATTTTGCAATATCCTGTTGTAACTAAGCTTTAAGTTTACTAAGATACCTGCATGCCAAATTTCAAGAGTCTATCTTACGCGGTTTAGATTTTTACATACAAAAGTTTTTTCCCGCTAACTCCCGTTCCCGTGGGAATTTCACAATATCCTGTTGTAACTAAGCATTAAGTTTACTAAGGTACCTGCATGCCAAATTTCAAGGGTCTATCTTACGCGGTTTAGATTTTTTCATACAAATGTTTTTTCCCACTAACTCCCGTTCCCGTGGGAATTGTGCAATATCCTGTTGTAACTAAGCTTTAAGTTTACTAAGGTACCTGCATGCCAAATTTCAAGCGTCTAGCTTAAGGGGTTTAGATTTTTCATACAAAAGGATTTTCCCGCTAATTCCCGTTCCCGTGGGAATTCCTAAGTATCCTATAACCTGCCCAGGAGTATGAAGAATAATTGTGCCAAGTTTCGTTAAAATCCGTCGAGTAGTTTTTGTTTCTATAAGGAACATACAGACAGACAGACAGACAGACAGACAGACAGACAGACAGACAGACAAAAATTTTACTGATTTCATTTTTGGCATCAGTATCGATCACTAATCACCCCCTGATAGTTATTTTGAAAATATATTTCATGTACAGAATTGGCCTCTCTACAGATTTATTATAAGTATAGATAAAATATGTTATTCCATTTCAGTAGCCCATAAATTGTATCACCAAGTATAAATTGTAGCCCATAAAAGTGTATGTTCACATACATCTTCGGATCTCAGTACTAAACTTCCAGATTCGCACTTAAAGTCATCTCATTTGACTAAAAGTGATTGAAAATTTCAAATACCGTAAAAATCACGAAAAATAATATTTGTATTGAATTTTATTCAATTGACAAAGCTAAAAATATATAAATTATACCAAAACTGTCAGATTTTTTTTTTAACTTTTTAACAACGTCCCGTACCAGGTGGGGTGTGTGACACCCACACCCACTTTAAAGGCATGTAACTCAGTTGGTAGTCACCACTGGACTGATTTTGCAACGCTGATCCAAGCAGCAGTGTCATAATTCCAGCTACTGAGAATTTCAAATTCAGCACTTGCAAATATTTAAAATTGTGGCTATTTTTAAAGGACTGGGGTGTGTCACACCCCACCTCGTACAGCGAGGGTTAACTAAGGGCTTCGGTCAAACCAGTTAAAAACACTACGACAGTGCCAAGCCAACTGGGGGCGTGTAGTGTGAGTTTACATCAAACGTCGTCACTTGCGAGCGCGTTAAAAAAATTATAAAGATTTTAGTTCTTGAAAGTTTCCACCAGGGGCGCTGTATAATCCGTCACTTTTTTTACGCAGTTGACATCGAATGCATTTGACGTAAACTCATACTACGCCCCCTGAATAGCGAACATTCGCGTTTATATTAAAAGTAAAGTGAAAGTAGGCCCATTTTCGATTCACAATTTTCTAAGTCAATTCTTCTAGAAATCGAACCCTGCTTCAAAAACTTCACAATCATTTAGCCATAGGACGTCCACTGCTGAACATAGGCCTCCCCCATTGATTTCGAAATTGGCCGGTTGGTAGCGGCCTTCATCCAGCGCCTTCGTGCTACCTTTATGAGGTCGTCTGTCCACCCTGTACTTGTTAGTATTCAAAGCAGGTCTTCATGCTTTTGGACTTTGATATAATGGAGATTCAAACTGAAAATTTTATTATCATTAAAAGTATGTCAGTGTGTGTGTGACGCGTGTTAACGGAGTATGTGTTTATACTGTGGCAAGAGTCTGACTTTAGATTAAATTCGCCGTTAACGCTAAGTCAATAGGGTTCGATTTCAAGTGACTGATCAGCTGATAACTGTACTCGTAAAGTAGCGGCGTCTATAGGGATTGGAGTATGTTACATAGGAGAAGCGGATGCGAGAGCGATTTTAGAGAAATTTTAAGTAATTGTAATGACAATAACAGCATTAATCAGTTAGTCTAGATCAGGGGGCGCAGTGTGAGTTTAAAAAAGTGACATTTAATGTATGACGGATTGTAGGCACAGCACCCCTAGCGGAAACATTCAAGAACTTTAAGAATTTTTTAACGCAATTGATTTCTAATGCGTTTGACCTAAACTCATACTACGCCTCCTAGTTATAGCTAGTTATAGGAAGCATAAAAAGCATGGGTATAATATTTTTTAATGAAAAAACAATGAAAATTAAAATGAAATATTTTATTCAGCGACACAAAACATTTCAAACATTTCTTAAACTTACCAAGTTTCTTTAAGCGTGTTTTAAAGTAGAATTATAGAAGCCGTAGAGGTTTTTAAGGTAAAGTTCTTGAAACTCACGAAGACGAGTGAGCTTTACATAATGTGTCGTGGGTCGTTACTGTTCGTTTTTTAAAAGTTGATAGACATTACACTATCTTAATGGTGCGTCCAGCCAGACTGGGCGCACTGGTTCGCGCGTCTAACTCAACATCCTGCTCACTCAAAAGCAGGATGAGCAGGATGACCTTGACCAGCGTGGCGCGCGAGCGCGTGCGCCTAGTCTGGACGCACCATTATGTGCATGTAAAGCTTACCTGCCTTCATGAATTGCAACAACTACACATAAAAATCTCATTGTGTTAGTGATTCTGTTACTGATAAAACCGCTCCCGCTCCCGCTCATCATGTTACCATGACCGCACCTTTACGATAATAACCGGCCGTTAACCACACCGCGGCCATCGCCTGTCAGTGTCCAACCTGCTGTGTCGAACCAAACGTGTATTTAAAAAATACATCGACACAAAACGCCGGTGGATTCAAGGTATTTATGCTAGGTTTATGTATAAATTTTATGTATAAAAGTTTTTGGTTTATGCTAATTTGGTATTATATGGATTTTTAACAAAAATACAGTTGGGTGTAGATTAAGATTGTGAATAAGTGATTTGTTTGAATGAAACGTATTGATAAGTATCATTGGTAGCTATATTACTGAATCGTAATTGACATAAAATATGGACTTTTAAACTGTTGTCGTCAGTCTCTAGATGTATAATTACTAAAAAATTTTGGTAATTATAAGATTTTAACGAAGAAAGTTTCAAATATGAGATATAATATTATACTGATCATCATCAGGTGACCATCAGGTGATCCGTCTGCTCATTTGCCTCCTGTCACTTAAAAAAAAACTAATCGCTAATCTAATAAGTAATAATCAATAACCTAAAAAGGATTTAGGACGCTATTTGGATCAAATATGTAATTGCTCAATAATGAATAATAAAAGAAAAAAAAAAAATTTTATGTTTGTATCTACATAATATTTTATTCAAGTCATAAAGACATCCAGCTTAAACAGCGGCTACTATAGAAAGATGAGCATTCAATGATAATGATATAATAATAATAAATTATGAAAGAAACCTCTTGATGGACTCAAAAGTCCCTTTTTCGATCTCCGAGTAAAGTTCAATGAAAAAATCAATGAAAAATCAGGAAGTAGGTAAATACTACCTACTTCCTGATTAACACTATTTAGCAAGTAAGAATTATTTTATCGTCATCGCTTCGTTGCTACTCGTGTCTTTAGTTATGATGCGTTGAACTTCTGCGTGACGTCACAAAGTGCTACACTTTTAAGCACGCCAATGAACTTTGGAACGCTTTATCTCTTTCAATTTTCATTAGTTTGAAAAAGTGAAAAATACGCGTCGAGAATTTTTTGATAAGTTAACCGACGGACTAGTTCGAACTCTTGCTTTTTTTACTCAAAAAACATCCCTAGATCTTGACGCGACAAGGAAAAACTGTGCTTAAAATGATGACAAGAAAAATATAACTAGAAATAGCTAATAGCTCAACTTGTTAGGTCGTCAACGTATATTTACTGCACGAGGTCACAGAATAAGTAATAGTACAGGTACAGAAGGATTACTCCGCAAGACGATTTAAATAAATGCGAGTCTTGCTACGACGCGATACAGTGGAATTCAGCTCGCACAGCACTACGTACCTACAATTTTATTCACCTACAAGTTTTGTCTCTTTCTATCGCGTGCCTCTGAACTCTTCTTACGCTGTTAGGGTTGCTGTCTAGTAGTGACTAGTAAAAAAATAATTAATCTACTTATTTGTTATGAGGTACGTATGTAGGTAAGTACGCATTAATTATGGAAAATCTTGGGAGAGGCCTTTGCCCAGCAGTGGACGTCATTTATTTTGGCTGAAACGAACGAACGCATTCTGAGCAGTAGTCATGGTAGGTTAGGTTCCTATACTATCCTAAGAATTATTGATTACCTACATGGTTAACATACCTTTCAGCATCTTTGGGAAGCGAAAAAAAAGATAAATCCGTTAGATTTCTTTTCGAATTTAAAGACCCGAACGCCGCACAATAATATTTCTTTCTCTTTATGTCCATTTTTAAATAATACTTCGATCATAGAATTAGTTACTACAACGCACGCCAGCGTCCTGACGGGCGCGCGCGTGACACTCGACTGATATAATACCCGCCGGCGGGGCGCTTCGCTGTAGGTAATTATCGGATGTACCGCGCGGAGTGAGCCAGGCCTGACGAGGTGTATAATTTTCGTTCGAGGTTCTCCTTAGATGGAGGCCTATGTCTCAAACATGTCGTATCTACCAGAAGTTTAAGAATATTGATAACAGTTTCATCGTCATCACCAGGTCATTTAGTCTCCAATGCAGGAGCACGACCCTCTAATTTACCAGAGGCAAATGGAGGATTTGGCCTACACTCCCCACGCTGGCCAGACGGGTTGGGGAGGCCTGAAGTTCACACACACGGCCGCGCACACTTAGTTTAGCAATCGACCAGTGATGGAGCCTATGTATCATCATCATCATTTCAGCCACAGGACGTCCACTGCTGCACATAGGCCTCCCCCAATGACTTCCACATCGCACGGTTGGTAGCGGCCTGCATCCAGCGTCTTCCTGCTACCTTTATCAGGTCGTCGGTCCACCTTGTGGGTGGACGTCCCACGCTGCGTTTTCCGGTACGTGGCCTCCATTCCAGAACCTCGCTGCCCCATCGGCCGTCAGTTCTGCGTACTATGTGCCCTGCCCACTGCCACTTCAGCTTGCTGATCCGTCTCGGATCGTCTCGTTTACGGATCTCCTCATTTCTGCCTATGTATATTTGGACATAAAATGCCAAGGTTTAGCTTCATGTGCTGTCGCCTGTACAGCACTACCAATTCTTGAATATAGCCACTGCCATAGCTCGGCACTTTGCAGCAAATTTTAAGGCACCCTTAGCCGCCTTTTATGACACCCACGGTGTCACGGTGTGACACTTTTATGGTGCTAGTCTTCTGCTTTGCTGTAACCACACGGCCTCACTTAGAAGTCTATGAAAGTAAAACTGGAGTCTACTTACTCGAAAATCTTTGTGGAAGTGGAACTCCTGGTCATCAGTGTGTTATCTCTCAACCTTCCAGACCCATAATTAATAGCATCAGGCGATTTAGACCCATGTTTCACTAAATTCCTGCCTATAATCTGTTATTTCTCAACCTTCCAGGGCCATGTCTCACCAGGTCTACTGCCGGATGCTGGGCTATGTTACAACCATAGCCCTGCACTGCGGGAACATCGCAGTCATGTACTCTCCATCCAAAGAGGCGCTGGAGGATGAGAGGATTCAGGCGTTCAGCAAACTGCAGTACAGATATTTGACTTGTTGGACTTTTGTAAGTATTTATTGACTGATGTTTCAGTACGGGATTAATCCCATCTCTTTTTCCACTGCTTTAATTCCTAGGTAATCTGACCTCTCATTCCCACCACTGTAATTCCTGTATTGCCAGAATCTACAGTTTGGCCTCTATTGAAAAAATGATTTATTTTATAAATAAACTTCATTTACAAAGTATTTTGGTAACCAACCTTTTAAGTATAAGAATACCTGTAGTAGGTTACCGCTATTCCAAAAGTAATAACATATTAAAACCTAACAAGTGAAGGTTTTAGCAGTCCTCGTGGATAAATGCACTGTCATGATTAACAGTTCAAAGGAAGACTGCGAAATAAACATTCTCTTCGTTGCAAAATGGGAGAAAGATGACTGAAATATTTGAACATACAGATTTAAATATGTCGATAGTAAAATTAACAATCTCTTCATATTTAGTCGTCATTAGTCTCCACTGCAGGAGACTCTCTCGCTTCAATTTACCAGAGGCAATGGAAGATTTGGCCTACACTCGCCACGCTGTTGGCCAGACAGATTGGGGAGGCCTGATGTTTGCACGTTTCTCCCTTAGGCCCGATTCGACCAAACTTTTATCCGAGAATAACTCCTGGTATAACTGGCACATTGACAGTTTCAGTATGGGAAATATGTCAAAACTAACGATTTATTCTGAGACTAGCGGCCGCCCGCGACTTCGTACGCGTGGATCCCGTTTTACCCCCTTAGGGGTGGAGTTTCGTAAAATCCTTTCTTAGCGGATTTCTACGTAATAACATCTACCTGCATGCTAAATTTCAGCCCGACCGACAGGTTTGGGCTGTGCGTTGATAGATCACTATGTCAGTCAGTCAGTCACCTTTGAGTTATACATTATTGTTTGGTCGAATCCACCCTTAGTCGCTTACGAAATCCACGGAGTAAGGGTGGTCGTTTTTTCCTCTGCCTAGCTACAATTATTAATTAATATTATCTTATTTTCTTTATTTCCAGTTCCTCCAAGTGGTGTACGCAATAGCAGCATTGACTTGCGATATTTTATTATTAAGGAATTCAAACAAAAAATCTTATAAACTGCCGAAACATCTGCACAGATTTAAAGAAACGTTATTCTGTGCTATCGTATGGCCTTCGTCCGTGGTAAGTTAAAAGTTTTATTAAGTTAATTGTTAAAATAATAGTTAGTTAATTTATTGAATTCGACTTTAGGATGTGGGTAAATTATAATTGTTGATTATTATTTAATTTATATTGTTACAACTTGTACAATCTATTAACCTAGATTAGTTGCCAATCAAAAAAAAAATTCATATCTTGGACATAAAAACTTTCGTCACCCCAAAAGTTATTTGAAAAATCAATATAGACTGTTTGACACCGTTTCCCAATAATTAGAAATCACAACTTTATAGGGTTCATTAGTCCTGACATGGAACCCTTATAGTTTCGATATGTCTGTCTGTCTGTCTGCCCGAGGTTTTGCTTGGCTTTAGTTTCGTGAAACAACATAATATGCATCTTTTACATATAATAGGTTGCCATCGAACATTAAACTCCTTCCACTAAGGCCCAGAACAGACGGTGATACGCAACTGCAACTGCTAGTTACTTTTGAGTTGCATCTAAGTTTCTGCCATAGCATCCGTTGAGAGACCACACATGACGCGACTAGTTTGAAACTTTCAGTTTCAGTTTCATTCATCAGAATCATCACAAAGTTGCAGTTGCGTTTCACCGTCTGTTCTGGGCCTAAAACACAATAACTAACCAGTTTTAATCAATTCAATAATTTAATTCAATATTATAGTGTTTTTTTATGTGTCACAGTGTACTGATCAAATTCTTCTTTTTCCATTCCAGCTGGTCTGCGTTCTATTCTGGACCGTATTTCTATACGACAGGAGCCTAGTTTTCCCTGAATACCTGGACAAGGCATTAAGTCCAGTGTCAAACCACATCATGCATACTGCCATCCTGCCTATAGTGTTATGGGAGATGCTATTTCAACCAAGGACCAGTCCTAGGTCCCATAAGAAATATCTGGCCCATTTAGCGTTCCATTTTGGGCTCTATGTGTCTGTGTAAGTATAAATATAGCTTATTATAGTCTAAAATGGATGGACGACCTCATAAAGGTAGCAGGAAGGCGCTGGATGCAGATCGCTACGAACCAGGCGATGTGGAAATCATTGAGGGAGCCCTATGTTCAGAGTGACGTCTTAAGGCTGAAATGATGATGACGATAGTCTAAAATAGCCTTTATTGACAGTTGGTGGGCATTATAAGTCCTAAGTTCGATTCCCGTGAGAGATGCACAGGATGATCAAACGGTGAAAAAGATTGTTCATCTAGCTAGAGTCTAGAGGTCCTGGGTTCGATTCGCATTTGATATTTTTAAAGCTTGAGGAATTGAAATAAGGGATGAAAATAAAGTAGTAAAAAGTTTTATGGGAAACCCATGACTTTTATAATAATTTTATTTACATGAAAACTAATTTCTAACTGCCTTCCCAAATAGAAGAAGATTCTGAATGAGGGTTTTCTTCACCAGTTGGCGTCACTTGTCACTAGCGAGTAAGGTCCTGTCCTCAGATCATAGAAAGAGAATAGATATGAAGTCGCGCGTAACTACAACGAGAACCAGTGTCCCCACATTTCCCCCACCACAGCTCCGCTCCCACACACACATTCAACTGTGTAAAAACAAAGCGACTGAGAGTCTACGACAACATGTGCAACCGGCTCAAAAGTGCTGTGATTGGCCAGAAGGCGTGCCTTATGGCCAATCAATGGCCGCGTGACGTGACGCACACTTTGAAAAAAGCAATTAGAGAGAAGAAAGATAAAATGGAGTCGATAAGATATCGATACTTTAAATCCTGGGGGCAAGGCTCGAAATTGGTTTAAAAAATGCTTACATGAAAACCTTTTTATTATTATACGTTATTATTATGTTCTTTAACGATTTTTGCATAAAGGAGTCAGTTCCATTTTTTATGGACGAAAAACTCAGAATCAATTATTATTGGGACTAAATGAAGTTACCTTATATTAATTTACCCCAACCAAAGCTCAATGTCGTTATCGATGGAGTATAGAAGTTATAGACTGACAAAGTTTGTATGAAAAGTCATGGGTTAAGTAGGTACTTGCGATTTTTACCAGTATTTACAATATTGGTAATATATTATTATTTACTTTAATAATAATAACAGGATCACTGTAATTATTATTAACTACTATCGCGCATTAACTTTTTAATTATGGCGAAATTCGTACCGCCTATGTTTATCAAAAATAATGCCTATATTAGGCTTTCAACTAGCTCTTATAGTAATTACATAGTTGACAGTTACTAATCCCTTCTACTATTGTTATTGTTTTTGTAAAAACTTAAAAATCGCAAGCAACTCATGATTTTTTCATTCAAAATTAGAAAATAGAAAATAATAATTTACTTCTATTTATCGATAATAGGAAACCGTATTAGAACACGAGCCCTGCACTATGTTACGACCGGCACATGCGGCCGTACTGTGTATTTTCACGCGTCAGTGGATATCGGAAGAAATAAAATACATTGCGCAGTAGTTACGCATGACTTAAAGTGGTTGCTAACTAAATCGTCAATGTACAACGTGTTTGAATTTTTATCACCACTAATTTCGATATCGCAGTAAATGTCACGGCACTGAATTCGTTCGTAAAAATGTTTAGTTTTTTTTATTTATAAGCAAAATACCATTGGATTTGCAATACTTACATGTGGTAAATGACTTCATTGTTCCTGTAGTTCTTCGTTTCACTTATGTTATTGCACGTTACGACGCATTATCCAACAATATCGGAGAACATTTCCTCAGTACGACTGAATTGCGACTAAACTGGCGTCGCGGGCGATGTTCGTTTCTGGGCATATCGCGGAGACACGCGCCACGCCCCCGTTTCACATCTATTCCCTTCTATGATCTGAGGTCCTGTCACTTGCTTGTGGCTAAGACAGTGGCGCCAACTGGTGAGCGCAATAGAGACACCCTTATTGGTTTGTATTTTTATATCTTTTAAAACATTTCAGTTGATTTTTCCTTCTTTTATTCTGTGAGAGATAGCGCAGACTACCATAAGTTAAACGCGGACAAATCTGGGCTATTTTCATCATAATTATTTCAGCCACAGGACGGCCACTGCTGAACATAGGCCTCCCCCAATGATTTCCACATCGCCCGGTTGGTAGCGGCCTGCATCCAGCGCCCTCCTGCTACCTTTATGAAGTCGTCGGTCCACCTTGTAGGCTATTTTAGTACCTAATTAAAGTACAAAAAACACGGGCAAAATTTCGGCCTATCCTATTGCATAATTCATACATTTTTTGTCTTTTTCAGGTTAACCTACACATACATAGAGAGAGGCTCATGGATATACCCCATACTGTCGAAGCTGTACGGCACAGTATACTTCTATGTTCTCATTGCCTTTACATTCCTCTTCGCTCTATGGTGCTACAGCCTCCAATGGATTCTGGTTTCTATTCTATGGAAAACGGAAGGATCTAAGAAGAAAATTCGATGATAGTTATTTAATGCTTTAGGTAAAATATTATTATAAAGTACACTATTATTATAGTTCTTACAACTCACGAAGGCGAGTGAGCTTTACTTGTGGGTGTACGTGTACATGCACATAACGATTGACGATAGTTTAATGTCTGTCAAAACTTTTGAAAAACGCACAGGACTAGCGAGCCACCACACATGTTAGGCTCACTCGCCTTCGTGAATTGCAACAACTAAAATAATTTGTAATTAGGAGTTTTTATTAAATATTTATTGTAACCGTTAAACGGTTTTTAATACTAAGTGTTAGTAAGCAAGTAATTAATTTAAGAATTAAAATTAATTTATTCTTTACCACATGAAAAAAAAATGTTTCTTCAAAATAATCATCACAATAGAAACTTAATTTATTAAGTAGTACAATTTGTATCATATGATGATGGATATTATTTTTTCTGTGTATCAATCTGTTATTTTAACTAACTAAAAATAAAATAATAAAGTCAAAAATATTTTGTAAGTTTTTTATTCCCTGCCTTATTTTTGTGAATAGGAAAAAACAGGAAATATGTCACCAGTTAGATTCAAACCAAGAATCAAAAGCCTTTATAGCTCGGAATGTTAACTGAACATTTCAAATGTGTGTGATCAAATGGAATGATTAAAGATTTCTACTTAAATTACTTCTTTATTTATCTTTCTGATAACAACTCTGGGAATCGAACCCTAAAACTCCTATGTCACGCAAATAAGCTCTATGTAACACTACTAGATTATTATAACAACATTCTATAAATACCGGAAGTACGAGTAATTAATATCATTAAAATTCCTATCTCAATAGTAAACTACTGATCCAAAATTCTTGATCAGTAGGTCAAATCAGTTCAAAATCACTATAAACGTAAAACCACGGTCCAATCAAATTGAAACCTTATCTCAAACACTTAAGGACTACCCAGTTCAAGCTTCACCTCATCTATCAAATAAAAACCAGTTTTTTAAAGAGAAAATATGGTCTACAAAAAGTGCTTTCCAAACTGTACTCAATATCCATTTTATCTTGATCTCTACTTGTGATACAAAAGTTCTTAATTTAGTTATAGAGCTGAGATCTACGTTAGCTGGATGACAAACCAGTTTAGGAAGACCCTTATGGCTTGTTCGTACTAGTCAAGTAATTTCTTAATTTAGTCGACTGGTGAGAAAATCGAACCTTAACTTCGTACTCCTCCTATGTTCTTCTGATTAATTTCGTTGCGGGTCCAATGATAGTCTGACTTTCCCCGGGACAAACTTGAACTTCACTGGTTGGGTTTTTATTGGCGGTCAAGCTGTAGATCCTGGCTACACAGGAGTTGCAGCGGTGGGAACGAGAGGTGGGAAAAACTATAGAAACAAATTACTCTACAGGTCTATGTATTTTGGTCGCGTGATGCGTAGAATAAAGTTGTGTTTCTATAAAACAGGGAGTTTTAACTTTAACACTTTGTGTTAAGGTGTAATTTACAATGGAGTTGCATAAGGTGCGCGTGCGCCAAAGAGGCTGCGTTCCACTTCACGGTCAAGTGCATTGGTGTTGTCGTGTTTAAGTTTTTTACCCGATTTTGGGGTAATTTTTAGTTGTTGCAACTATTTTTTTTAATAATTATAGTTTATGTCAAACAAGCGATTAAGTTAACAGGTTTGTGCTTGCTTAACGATGTTTTACTCGTTATGATTATTAATTATTGTTTAATTACTTCCGTAGATAAAAATATCATTGCGTATTTACTTAAAAATGTACTCAAATAACTTAACTTTATTTTGCAGTCACCGCCTATCACTTAGTAGGTTTTTTTTTGTAAAATCGCACCTGTGTAATAAAAATCAAATAATACTATACTATCGTTCTAGTAATGGATAAATTAATAAAGCTTATTTACAATTGTGAAAAATATACCTACTTTGAAAATGATACAGGTCTTGAAACTTTCATTCATATCAAATATTTTAATCAGAAACCAAAACATAAGTACTAACTAAACTCGGATGGATAATATGTATTTTATATGGCATAGGTATTTGATTTTAGAAAAACCCATCGATGTTTCTTATTTTTAAACAATACAAGTTCCTCAATATGACATAATAAAAACGACTATCAACTTCGACCTTCATAAGTATCATCTGAATGCTAATTTGAAACTCAAATGGCCACACTGGCCGTACCAGATACGGTCCAATACCATTTCTTTACTCGCTTTCATACGACGCGGACGCTACATAGTGAAAGTGCGGACCTCTTTACCAAAAAGTGACGTGTTTAAAAAGAAAGTGAATTCGAAGTGCACGGTTTAAATTTGGAACGCGAGAATTCAAAATTGTGGAAAAAAAGAAGAAATAGAACAGTTTGAATTTTCAAATCGAAGATAGAACTGAAAATAATTTTGAAAAGAGAACGATATAAAAACTTCAAACTTTGAAAATAGAACGCGAATTCAAAAATGGCGGTCTCGTACGCGGTTTCCCGCGTTCTTCGGCGGGCGTCGCCGTTCCTTTTCCAAAAAAGGTGCGAGTCGACTATGGCCAGTTTGACGAAGGACGAGATCCTGATACTGCTGAGGCCTCCTTTCACGAATTGGAGCAATGTCATCCAAGATGCGGAGAAAGTGGTCGGGTATCCAACCTCTTTTATGAATTTACGATGCTTGCTGAGCGATGAGTTCGCTAATATGGCGCTTTATTTGAGGAAATTGGTAAGTTTGAACCTCAAATATGTACTTAATCCTTTAAAAACTCATGATAATAGGTCTAGTGCCGAACTCAGGCAGTGCCTGAGGTATGGGAGCGGCACGGGAGGGTGTTTTTGTAATGTCAAACGACAGCAAAACTTCAGATTTGTCCCCTATCCGTCCCCCGGACACGGCCTGAGCCAAGGTCCGAGCTTACCGTGCCGTGGCGCCCTCAGGCCGCTTTCGCAGTCCCCTCGATCGGGTCCACTAGAGTGAGCCCACCGTGTAGGCTGGACTTTGGTCCAACACCGCGGTGGGCAACCCTCTAGTTGGGTTCGCCACTGATCGGGCGCCTTATGCGCTCGATACGGCCCGATCGCGAACGTCGGTCTGCGACCGACGATCGCCAAACGGCTAGAGTACCTTCTGTACTCGCCACTCTGCCCGGTGAAGCTAGAAAAGCTCATCAAGCTACCAGCGCGCGTCCCTTAAAAAAAAATCAGATTTGTATCACGTCTTAAATATCAATGTCATCTTTCCATACCGCCCCTGACCGCCCTCTGACCTCAGATACTGATTGAGTTAATCGTTAGACCTACAGAATCTAATAAACTATCCCAGAGAGGTTTGGTTGCCACCAAGCAAAAAAAAACTCTTCAACCAAATTGTAGTTAAGTTTTGCTCAAGGAAGTATAAGCCCTTTGTATTAATTATCTAGTTTGATTATGTAGTTAATTAATAATTAATCCAGTCAATAAAATAATTTCGTTTTTGTTTTTTAAGATTAGTCATCTAACTTAGTAAATTAGGTATAATTAGGGAAATTATAACATGGATTGACGCAACCTCGTTAACAAATTGTTAGATTTGAACTCAATCTTAAATAGATTAACTAAGAATAATTATGCAGTTTTGTAACACTTTATCTTTGTGTTTTATAATGTACCTATAAAAATATTTTTTTAAACTAACTTACGCCCGTTTTCACCATCAATCCCTAATTTTTAAGTGACCCCTTTGAAAACAAAATTCCTGTTATGTATTACCATAGGGGTCACTTCAAAATTAAGGTTTGATGGTGAAAACGGGGTGGTCTATAAAACATGTTCCAATAACCACTGTTGTAGCAAATCGCTACAAAATAAGTTTATTTGCGTTAATTTCATGAATTTGTTATCCAAGGGCTTTTTTCCACGGCATCATCCCGCTTTTTGCAGGATCCTGTTTAGTAGTATTACGTGTTTTAATAAGCATTCACATGTACATCCCGTTTACAGTATCCCGCAAAAAAATGAATTTGGGATTCAAACAAATGAACACTTGTATACACGACAGTCCAGTTTTGCGGGATGCTGCTTTACGGGATTGCCTTAGAGATGGGCCTTAAATTGATAAAAAACAGTCAGCTTACTTTTCTTGCACCCCAGAACTGGTTTAACCTTTACTGGTTAATTTAGAGGACTTATGTCCGCACTTCCACAGCACTGTAGCATCTTATACCAATGCAACAGGTGTCATTTTCCAACAAAAAATGTATAGCGTCATGTGCTGTAACCAAAACAGAAATAGAAAGGATATTTATATGAAATTGTTCAATGTCAAGCTTTGTTTTGCTTAAAAGACTGCCTTAAATTGGCCTTAAGATCACGGTCGAATCGGAACCATGGCCGTTATAATTTGACATCACACGCAAATTAAACGAACGAACGAACGAACGCAAATTACTGTGCCATAATAGTAGAATCCTATAGATTTGACATAAGCTCTATAGATCTCCCCACCTCTCGTTCCCACCGCTGCAACTTCTGTGTAGCCAGGATCTACAGCTTGACCGCCAACAACTCAACCAGTGAAGGTCAAGTTTGTCCCGGGGGAAGTTAAACTGTCATTGGACCCGCAACGAAATTAATCAGAAGAACATAGGAGGACCTCTAAGATTTTGATACCCGTTTTCACCATCAATCCCTAATTTTTAAGTGACCTCTATGGTAACACATAACAGGCATTTATTTCATCGGGGTCACTTAAAAATTAATGATCGATCGATGGTGAAAACGGGCGTGAGACCTTAGGTACTGATGTACTTACGTAAGGGTCCTTTTTTAAGGAAATCCGGGCGGGATCCTACTGGACTCTCTCTCTCCATTACTATGGAGAATCCTGCAAAACTGGACTGTCATGTGAACACTTGTGTGAGTTTGAAAGTAGAACGGATCGGTTTTTGGAGGACTCTGCATGTAAACGTGACGTTAATATTAAAAACACCTATACTACTAAATGGAATCCTGCAAAAAACAGTTCCTGCAAGAAACGGGATGTCTCCTTGGAAATAAACCCTTACGGTAGACAAGGAATCCAATAGATTTGACATCAGCTCGATCTTTAGAAAACATGAGACCTTACCGATGTTTTTAGGTTTTTTAAATTTCTGAGATAATTGTATTTACTCAACTCCAAAAAAGGACAATATCCTGGAAGTTGTATACGTTCGCAAACACTAGACTTAACACACTTTACGCGCTGCAAAAATTAAAAAAAGACCAAAAATAAAAAGAGAATTATTCACACATCTAGTGTCAGACTTTTAAAAAAAACCACAGTCACACTGTTTTTTCCAAGTGTTAAATTTGATCGAATTCAGTTCAGCCTTGAATAGTTAATTGCAGAACGCCTCCTTCGTTAACGTCACAGCACATCTCCACTTCCATTCAATCCTTGAGGTCAAATCAAACAATTCAATTCAAATTCAACTTTAAATTCAAAACAATGGACTACCAAATGCCAAACCATACCTACCATAGTAATGTGACCAGTTCGCAAGCCACATGGTCGAACCAATTGGGAGTATCCATTATGAAATAAATACCTACGCATTTACGTCAAAAGTGTTTCCAAATCAAAATGTTAAGATGCTCATTCACTAGGACCACACACGTGTAATCAAAATAAAGCAAAAAACAAATAAAAAATATTTATTTAGTACTTAGGCCCTTTCCACTGGAATGGGCTTTTCTGTGAAGTTTCCAGGGCATTTGTACACGTCCCAAATATAGCTTGCTCTACCACCACTTCGGGACAACATATGGGCCGGTGCTGAGAAGAAGTGGCGGAAAAAACTCAGTCACCTTTCTAATGTCCAGTAGGACAATGTTAGATACAATTAGATAGTAATCTAACATACTATGCAATGGTAGGACTATCCTACTAATTTTATAAATGTAAAATTTTGTGAAAATGTATCGATAAATGTTTATACGTACTCAAATCACTGAACCGATTTAGATGAAAAGTACAGAGATGCAAAGAAAAAATAAAGAATAGTCTTTATCCCGTTCTTCGGAAGAAGCAAAAGTTAGTTTACTGTTTCACACTGTTACATTACATGCAACTGCTCCTAGTGAATGAGCACCTTAACACTGGAAAAACTTGTTGAGCCAAAATCCGACCTGCTGATTTAAAATTTCACAATAAAGGTTTGACTGATTTAAAAATAATAAGTATTTTAAATATGTCATTGCCATATCCGTAATGAAAATAATTGACAAGTTTACTCCGTAATGTTACCTTTTGTACTTTAACTTTATCAAACGTTAAAAATATGTGCAATTCCATACACAAAACACCGGTTATCGTTATTCATTCGTTCGTTGGTTTCATCCAAATGACGTCCACTGCTGGACAAAGGCCTCCCCCAAGGATTTCCTCAACGACCGGTCTTGCACCGCCCGCATCCAGGCACTTCCCGTGACCTTCACTAGATCGTCGGTCCACCTAGTGGGGGCCTGCCCACACTACGTCTTCCGGCCCGTGGTCGCCACTCGAGAACTTTTTTGCCCCAGCATCCATCCATCTGCGTTTATCACGTAGCTCGCAAAACCACACCTATTGCAACTACATATATGAGAGCCTTATGCCCGTTTTCACCATCAATCCCAAATTTTTAAGTGACCCCTATGGTCATGGTTTAACATGTATTCACAAACGATGTTTGCTGTAAAGCAGCAAATCGAACGCATAGCGGTGAATAGAGCTCTGTGATTGGTTCGTGTGTCACCCTGTGGTCTACGCGCACTGTGAGACCTCATAGTAATGTTTGTGAATACGGGCGTTAATGTTTAACTTGATGTACTGTCAGTAGAACAAAGTATGATTACAATGATTACGATGCACTAACTGTGTCAAGAACTACAATTAAAATGACAATTAGTATTCTTTCTCGCAATCATAAGTAACTTTACTTAACTTTTTGGTGTTTAGAAACTCACACGAACAGCGAAAGAAAATTTGGAATGATGTAGCAACTGTTTTATTTTCACTACACTCATGTACTCAGGGAAAGTATCAGTATAATGGGTGTGTTGTAAACAGTGGTCGTCGTACTATTTACGCCACACCCTGTATATCGTTTCATCCACGAAAACGCGCCCCACCAATTATTGGCTGACGGAAGCGCGGGGAGTTTGATCCGAGCAATCCGAGCGCCATTATTGTAGTGTGCGTGTGCTCTCATGTATAATTTACCGTATGCCGATAACACTCAAACATTAGCGGAAAAATGGTGGGGCGCGTCTTCGTGGATGACACGATCATTATCATTATCATCATCATCATCAGGTCAAAATAATTATACCTAGTCTCCACTCTAGTCTTTACATGGAGGATTTGAAAAAAATCTAGGTAGGCTAGGTTTTTACCCGACTACAGCAAAGCAAAAGGAGGGAACATACAGAGTAAAAAATAAAGTTAGGATAAATATGCCGTGTTTGGTATCTTTTGAAAGCGCTTTACTTGTACATTTTGAATATGTATGTATATATTACTAGTATTTGCTTGTGACTTTACCTGTATTCATGGGCTGATTGCATATAATTCACATCTTTTCGTTCATACGATAGCTTCTTTACTACTTATTAGTTTATCAATTTAACTTTTGTTAATATTATTCGCCACAAATACACTTTAACACCAAAATAGTACAAATAATAAAAAGTAAAAAAATTAAAACGTCAAAGTGCTACGGTAGGTAGGTATATGTAACGTGTGACTACGCCTTTCCAAACATGAAAATTACTATGCAACTACATTAGCATCTTTGTTCAGTTCAGTATTCTGAAAATCTTGTTTTATACTTTTTCAGCGTCGTTTTTTGTCGTAGTTGCGGTTTAGTTTTTTTTTTACTTTTTATTATTTATTTTTTGTTGTGTTTTGAACAAAATAGCAAAAACATGTAATCACCTACTTACTGGTGAATCATAGTAGTACGAGAGAAAGTCGCTATGCGACTATTCTAGCGCTTTCCAACTCATTTACACAGAACCACTGCTTAATATTAACACAAATGGTTATTTGCAAAATAATATTCGAATATCTGCAATAGGGGTGTGGGCAGGCCTGCCACAAGGTGGACCGACGACACCGTAAAGGTAGCAAGAAGGCGCTGGACGCAGGCCGCTACCAACCGGGCAACATGGAAAGCATTGGGGGAGGCCTATGTTCAGCAGTGGACGTCCTATGGCTGAGATGATGATGATGATGATGATAAGCTACTATAACATAATCCATTTGAACCCAGTGGTAGGCACAGCTAGTTTTGCATAAATATTTATAACTTTTGAAGGACAAAGCCCGCCCATATACCACTATTTTAAAAACTTGTTTGTATTTCCATTCATCATTATAAATGCGAATGTAACTCGGTATTACCTTCACGCTTAAACCTCTGACTCGATTTTGATGATCTGAATTCATTGGACTAAAAATGAAATTTCCTCACATATTTTTGATAATTAGGCCAAATTTCGAAAACCTTTGTGTAATTTGTACTACATTATGCTAAGTTATGTTAAGTTAACAATGTTAAAAATAAGCTTGGGCGAGGCCCTGCTTAGTAGAACGAATTCTTTTGATATCTATGAACAAAACAGGTTATTGTAAACCTTATGGCGCTAAAAATATTTAGAAAATTTCCTCGTCAGCACATCAAGGTATACAGGGTGTCCCAAAAATAGTTTCAAGCCAAAGCCCAGAGGTAGACTACTTTTTTGGACATGCTGTATTTTTTTTTCCAAAATTACCCCTAGAACTAGTTAAGTAGCCACAGTGTATAGGGCTAGCGATAATTTAGGGCGATGTTGTGATGTCAATTTTATCAACAAAAATGCCCCATGTGACTCTACATGAAAATTGTTTGTATTTCTTATATTATGCCCGTTTTACTGATAAAAACACAAAAATAAAATATAATGACCAAAGAACTTAAAAAAAATAAAATAATTTTAGTTTTTGTCAAAAAATTTAGTTTTGACGGGCAAGTTTTTGGGGGCATTTTTGTCGACAAAATTGACATAATAACATCGCCTTAATTATCGCTAGCCCTATCCCAAACACACTGTATAACTTGATGAGACCTATCTCCTTTAAGTACAAGAAGTACTAAAAACTGAAAATTTTAGTCGGCCGATAGTTAAGTCGGCTTCATAAGAGTGTATTCACATGAAAGTCCAGCTTTGTGGAATCCTGCATTAGGTTCCCGCAAAACAGCCCGATTTTTTTTTAGTATCTTACTCATATCCTGTTCTCTTTATTTCCAGCTCGGCAGCAACCATCTTGTGATGCAGACCGCCAAAAACGTCCTCTATGGAGACTCCAAGAACCTCCAGCCCTGGGGCCTCATCATCCTTCTCCTCTCCAAGTCTGTCAGAACCAACATCGCAGTTACCAACCAGACCAAAACCATCGAAGAACAGCAGAGGATCCTCGCAGAATTGACTGAAATGATCCGCACTGGACACCTGATTCATCAAGGCATCGTCAATGTGCCTTTTGCGAAACGGTCTAAGCACACCGAATCTGCTATTTTCGGCAACAAAATTGCCATTCTTTTGGGTGATTATTTGCTGGTAACAGCTAACGCTATGCTAGCTGGACTCAGGAACTCCGACGTGTCTTATATCATTTCTACGGCTTTAAAAGACTTGTCTGAAGGTGAGTTCTTCGGAGAGAGAGACGAGCAGAATCAGCCTATACCTGGTAAGCCCCAACAGACTGGAGAAGACTTCGAAATAGAGTTTGATACCAATTCTATATCAGTCAATGAAGTGATGGGGAAGCCTAGGAAAGAGTGGACTGCTAGGAGCGTGTTTAATGGTGTCAGCCTTTTAGGCAGAGGCTGTCAATCCGCTATGGTCTTGGACAGGCAGAATAGAGAGACCCAGAATAATGCTTACCAATTCGGCTGTCATGTAGGTCTCGCTTGGCAGGCAGCTGTCGAAATGCAGCAGCTAACATCTGACACCAAAGACCAGTTCTGTCTAGCAAGCGCTCCTGTTCTTTTTGCTTTGGAAGATAACCCGGACTTATACAAATTTATCGACCAAGCAAAAAACGACGTTAAAGACGTCGATTATGAAGACTTGAAGTTTAATATCCTAAAGACAGAAGCTGTTGATAAGACCAAAATGCTGTATGAGGAACACGCTAAAAAGGCTACGGCGTATATTGAGAATATTGGGCAGAACGAGGCCGTGGATATGATTAAAAAACTGATTAACACCTTCTAAATAGGGTATCAAAGGTGTTAACAGTCTGTATTGTTATTCTTTGCATGAACGCTCTGTGGATTTTTGAAATTAGAACGCATGTCGTCCTTTGTTATTTGCATAGCGGTGACTAGGATGTAGATAGTTTCAAGTTCTTTTTTCAAGCTGTCAAAGATTATTGAAGGCCAGAATCATCATTATTGTTATATTCAAATTATTTTTATTTAATTTTTGTTGTATAGCTTTTAATAAATAGATACGTATTTGTTTTTTGTCACATATCAAAACTTATTTCAGTCACCTTTCACTTAGGTAATTTAATTTAATTATTTTTACTTTGTTTTTAGAAGATGCGTGTTTCCTTTTCTATGAACATAGCAAGTAGGTACTGCCTTGAATAGTTGGGTAAAACCATTTTAAAGAAATGTATAAAAATATAAAGCTTTGAAAAAGTTTTAAATGAATGTAGCTTAATTACGATTAAATCAATCCTGTATTTTGCTTTAACATAAACGAAGAACTTGGATATAATTTTATGTTAATGTATTAGGTATTACAACTTAATTATATTATTTTTAGTAAAATTGCTATAATCCATACATTTATACACATAAATTTTGTATTTAAGTTACATATTCTAAGTTAAATAGGTACTTATGAAATATTTTATTTTTACTAATGTAATATAAACTTCTTCTGTAATAGTTTTTGTTATTTTATTAAAGACCTTAAAAATGTAGAGACGGGTTTGGGGAAAATAAAAGATATTTATTTTGGTTTCTGAAAGTGCAATAAATATTATTTCTTCGGTGATTTCCCGAATTTCGACGGAGCCACGGGCAAAATTTACTTAAATCATCATCATCATCATCATTTCAGCCACAGGACTTCCACTGCTGAACATAGGCCTCCCCCAATGGCTGGGCTGGGAATAAACGTAGCGTGAGACGTCCACCCACAAGGTGGACCGACGACCTGATAAAGGTAGCAGGAAGGCGCTGGATGCAGGCCGCTACTAACCGTGCGATGTGAAAATCAATGGGGGAGCCCTATGTTCAACCTAATAATCCCATGGATTCATTATCATAACTAGCCACCATAGCAATAGATGATTGCCCCATACAGCTACCGACCACATAAACTACAATTTTTCATTGCAAAATCAACTCTATTCCAACCACATAAGGTTCATGTTTAGCTTCACATGCTGTGTTTAAAGCGATTATAATAAGCATAAATTACACGGTGTCTGTCTGTCTCCTTGACCTATGGCACTAATTATGCGAATGACAGGTGCTGTGTCGGAGTGTACGGTTTGTAATATTATGTCTGTCCCACCCACAACAGATCGAAGATCATTGAAAAAAGAATGAGGCTAAGAAATCACGGCGCGATTTTCACCCGCGCCCGCAGCGGTTGTGGAATGAGGGCTATCGTTTTTATACTTAACAGTTGGCACCCCTGGCGATTGACAGGACCTTACTCTACAGTGGCGCCATCTTGATGAGTGCAAATGCGCTAGTGCTCCTACCACTTTAGCGCTCACAAGGTGGTGCCACTGTCTTCGCTACTAGCAAGTGACAGGACCTTACTCTACAGTGGCGCTAACTGGTGAGCGCTAAAACGATAGCCCTCATTGCGGTTTTATTTCAAAACTCACGGGAGCGGTTATTTGCGCGGTTATTATAAGAACTCATGGTGCGATTTGAAATCGAGTCATTGGAACAAAATGGTCGCCCGCCAATCGGGCGGTTTTCGCGCGCGCGAAAACCGCCGAGCGGGAACCGCATACAACCGCGCCCGCTGAGAGCGAAAACCGCGTCGTAAGTTGTGCACTAGATTTTACATAAGTATTTGCATTCTACAGAAGCTGCGGGCCCGCAACCGCCGCGGGCGCGGGTGAAAATCGCGCCATGAGTTCTTAGCCTGAATGTGAAGAAAAATCAGTTGGCAGCACTGGCGAGTGACAGGACGTTATAAACGTATTTCCACTTCTCGTTCCCACCGCTGCTATTCTAGTAGCCAGGATCTACAGGTTGACCGCCAATAAAATCCCAACCAGTGAAGGTCAAGTTTGTTCCGGGGGAAAGTTAAACAATCATTGGATATGCAATAAAATTAATAAAAAAAATTAAGTAGATATTAATATAGCGCCATCTTGCGCACTCTAGTGAAACTAACTGTTTCACCATTTGCACAGGTTTCGCATACTTTTGCTTTGACTTGACTGTGTTATGGTATTTGTTGTAGAAACTAAAGATAGATGGTTCTTTTTATGAACAAACATGTTTCAGTAAATGCTTTATTTGAAAATCTAAATTTTTATATGTCCAGCGCAAAGCTCAGTCAGTGCTTGCACTGGAGGTTTTTTTTCACAGTTAAACGTCAGCGAGAACTTCAGAGGTGGAATTGAGAATGTTACTAGGTATGCAAAATCACTTGAAACCTATTTTACAGTTAGGCTTTTATATTTACAAATACATTAGTTTTTATTTCATTCAAAAATACCCAGTAGTTATGATTTTATAGGCATTCAAATATTGAGTGCCGCCGACGGTCACGTGACCCCGCGTGACGTACATTCACAGTGTCCGCTCACTAGAAAACGGATATAAACATACTTAAATACATTTTTTTTTGTAAATACAAACTTATTATACATATTAACACCCAGACCCATCACAAAAATTAAAATTGAACCAAATCCAAACTTGATGCGATTGTGTCGTTTTATTGCGAATTACCTTCCAGCTCCATCATTAGACCCTGATTACTATATAGAATTAAAGTACTCATCAATACAAAACGAACGAACCCAAATTCGATGGATTTAAGTCGTTTTATTATAGAGTTCCTATGGCCACCTTCCAGCTCCATCATCAGATCAGCTCCATGTCATTATAATATTGCATGGTCATCCAAATCACATGTGTTTGCGAAATTTCAGCTTAATCGGTTGCCTGGAAGTGGGTCTTAATTCAGCTTGCAAGATTCCACCCATACAAATATGAGCCAGTCACTGTAATATGACGTCACGCGCATAAAATGGCGGGCCGGCCGCCGCCCGCACTTTTAAAATTCAATATCTTGGAAACTAATTGACGTATCGAAATAATTCTTTCACGTGTATTTTTTATTTTTAACAGAGAATACAGAAAGCTAAAAAACAAAATTAGTGAACATTCTTCAATGAAGAATGTTCACTAATTTAAAGCAATCGTAATCATTTGACAGTTCATAACGTACGATAAAGTCAGTTAAACAAAGCGTTTGACAGAATAATCGTACGTTATGAACTGTCAAATGATTACGATTGCTTTACACAATTCCACCTCAGGTTTGTATGCTTATAACTCAAACCCCTCCCGTACCTCTCCCGTACCTCAGGCGCCCCCCTCTAAAAACGAAACTATTAGCTTAAAAAATCTGAAAAAAATCATGATAATAGTGCATGAACTTTCAAGAAAAACTATAACGGTTAAGATAAATCAGTTAGTTGAGTAATAGTCGTTTAACTCATCTACTATATAAAAATAAGTCGGGTTTTCCTCCCTGACGCTATAACTCCAGAACGCACGAACCGATTTCCACGGTTTTGCATTCGTTGGAAAGGTCTCAGGCTCCGTGAGGTTTATAGCAAAGAAAATTCAGGAAAAGTTTCAACAGAAAAGCGGGAAGGGGGTAAAACGGGATCCACGCGTACGAAGTCGCGGGCGGCCGCTAGTGTATTATAAAATTACATACATAATAAAAAATCTTTAGAAGAAAAATAGTACTTGCTTGCTTCTGAAATATATTGTGTGAACGACTGACAACTACGGAACCCTACACTGTACGTGGCACGCACTTGGTTTGGTTTGAAACCAAACTAATTTCAGATTGTTATTTTTACCGGAATATAAGTAGATCCTTTTTTATATACATGTGGTCTTGTACTACCCAAAATAGTGCTAAATATTTAGCGGTCAACTACAAACAGATAAGATCTTGTTTATCAACAAATCATAAAACGAAACTACCTAATAAACTAATTATTATTATGTATTTAAGTCACTTATTATTAAAAATATAAATACTACTTAGATTCGTGTTACGCTCGAAAAACTTAACAACTCATTGATCGAAAAACAGCTCACAACGCGTTGTAAGATCCACAATGTGAAATTCGTTTTATTAGTCTTATCCCAACTATCCCAATCCCAACTAATATTATAAATGCGAAAGTAACTCTGTCTGTCTGTCTGTCTGTCTGTCTGTCTGTCTGTCTGTCTGTCTGTTACGCTTTCCCGCTTAAACCTCGCAACCGATTTTGATGAAATTTGGCATAGAGATAGTTTGAGTCCCGGGAAAGAACATAGGATAGTTTTTATCCCGGTTTTTGAAACAGGGACGCGCGCGATAAAGTTTTTCTGTGACAGACAAAATTCCACGCGGGCAAAGCCGCGGGCGGAAAGCTAGTTATCCCAACTAGTATTATAAATGCGAAAGTAACTCTGTCTGTCTGTCTGTCTGTCTGTCTGTCTGTCTGTCTGTCTGTCTGTCTGTTACGCTTTCCCGCTTAAACCTCGCAACCGATTTTGATGAAATTTGGCATAGAGATAGTTTGAGTCCCGGGAAAGAACATAGGATAGTTTTTATCCCGGTTTTTGAAACAGGGACGCGCGCGATAAAGTTTTTCTGTGACAGACAAAATTCCACGCGGGCGAAGCCGCGGGCGGAAAGCTAGTTGAAAATAAAGGAAAGCCATGACGTGTTTTGAGTATCTACTAACCATATTTTATCACACAGCTAGATAAAGATTAACACTCAAATTCAAATTCTTGATACCTAATTAAAGAGGACCCTTTTCAGGGCACTTAAATATAGGTCCCAAATATAGCTTGTGCTACCAACTCTTAGGGACAACAAAATCATCCAGCGCTGAGAAGAAGTGGCGGAAGAAATTCAGTCAACAGTCAACTACTTCTGTTCCTGTAAAAAATAAATATCTTGAGTTGTACTACTTTTCTAAATAAAATTGGACCACGGGCCACGGGCTGGAAGACGTAGCGAGGGCAGGCCTCCTACTAGGTGGACCGACGATCTGGTAAAGGTCGCGGGAAGAGCCTGGATGCGGGCAGCGCAGGACCGTGCATTGTGGAAAACCTTGGAGGAGGCCTTTGTCCAGCAGTGGACGTCATTTGGCTGAAACGAACGAACGAACTTTTCTAAATGTGCGATAGTACTTAATATTCTATTTTCCTTCTTGTGGAAAAGCAGCCATTCATTGTATACCACACGGTACAAGAAAATTACCATGAACTTGCGTTAAAAATCACACAGTTTTTTCAACAATGATTGTCCATATAAACACATCTTAATTGCATAGCAACCAAATTACTTTTGCTTAATCAAATGATTTCTGAAAACTAATTTCTTACCTAAGT